CGTGGAACTCCTTAGGTGACAAGGTAATTAACACAACCTTCTTCCCTTTGTGCATTAATCGATACTTGTTGGCGACTCCATCGTGTTGTGCACTTCGATCGAATTGCCTTGGTCTTCCAAGTAGCACGTGTGTAGCTTCCATAGGTACCACATCACATAGGACCTCGTCCTTATATCCTTCAATATCAAATCTCAGAAACTTTTTTCTTGCCACCTTGATTGAACCATCCTCGTTGAGCCAATGGAGCTTATTGGGTTTGGGATGCTTCATTGCACTTAATCCCAACTTCTGAACCGCAACGGTGCTAATAGCGTTAGTGAAACTTCCACCATCAATCACCAATGAGAGTAACTTTCCATAGACTACATACCTCGTATGAAAAAAGTTTTATATTTGTTCAAGGTCTTCCTTGGGTTGCACGCATAAGATCCTCTTGTAACAAGCAATCTTCCTGGAGGTACTTCCATCTCAATTGATTCGTCAATCCAGAATCTGATGCTTCTTTTGCATGCTCCTCTTCTTCAGAATCCAAAACATACTCCCCATTATCTAGCACAATTAGAGCTCTTCGATTAGGTCATTGGTTGCCCATATGCGCTCTTCGATGACACTTGAAGCATTGGATGCTTCCACTAGAGCCCGCGGGCTTGTCTCTTGGTGCTTCAACCTTGGCTGCTGGTTTTGGTGCTTTTGGCTTTATTATGGTTGGCCTAGGGTTTGATGTCAAATGCACTCCTTGCCTTGGTGCACTTTGAGGTGGCACAAATCTTTTCCCAACATTGCTACGTTGTTGTTTCTCCACTTTGGCCACCATTGCAACAAAATCATACAAATCTACATAGAGGTGAATTTTCACCACATTCTTGATTTCTCGATTAAGACCATATATAATTCATGCAATAGTGGCCTCAAGATCCTCCTCTAGATTCGCTTTAATCATAAGCATCTCCATCTCTATGTAATAATCTTCTACACTCTTGTTGCCTTGTCGTTGAAGTAGTTGTTGTAGTCAAAGATTAGTTTCATCTTTCGTTCCCAATCTAGGTAAAAGCCTAGGGATTAGTATATCCTATAAATGGTGGAATGTTCACCTTGATTTTCTTCAAATCATCATCTTTATCTCGAGGGTGAACCTCCTAATCATCATACTCGGCTTCTTCATCTCGGGGTTGGCCTCGTCTTGCCCGTGGCATCCCCAAAGGGTGATGATGCCTCAATTTTTCTGCCCTGGGTTGATGAACAACCCTCCTCTCACCTCAATCTTCTTCTATCCTAGCCCGTTCATTATTAGGGTTAGGGTGTGGTTCTTCCCCCGCAAGAGGTTGGGGTGCTTGCATCCTTGTTTCCCACGCTTCAATCCGAGCGGTTTGAGCTTGTAGTGCCGCTTGAATTTCCACTTGGCTGGTGGTGTGTGCTCAAAGTAAGGCTTGGACTCGTTCGGTCAAAGCCTTGATTTCGTCTCGCATGTTTGCAGCACCAAATACTCCTCCAAGACAACTTGCAAGAAACCTTCAAGAACACGTCAAAATTTGCAAGAACTCGACCAAGAAGTTTCAAGAACACATAAGAACTCCAAGAAACTTCTTCTTCTCCTATGTGTTTGAACCGGGCTCCTGATGCCCCTTGATATGACCAAACTACATAAACTTCCTTCTTTTTATGGGATTTGCGAAGCTTTTCTCCAATTTAATACAAAACTCGAACAAAGGTAAAGATGGAACATGATCAAGCGGATTCCACTCGTGAGAAAGTCCAATTGGTATGCGAACCAATCAAACAAAATCCAACTTGTGAATGAGACCAATCGCTATTTGGTAAAAGGTCGACACAACTAGATGCATTCTCTTGTTGATAAGAGACACATGAAACTCCCAGAGACTCTCGACAAAAGCTTGCACAATGGAACTAGTTTGTAAGAACTTGAAACTTGAAAGTTGATTGATAAAAGTTGATGAATTACAATGGGGAATTCGGCCCCTATTTATAGACTCTCTACCACTAATCCAAAGCTTAAAAGGAAACACAAATCCTTAACAAACAAGTAAAATGCTAAGTCAAGACACTTCCTAGAATCTAGCCTTCAAATCCGCCCATACCCTTGTGTTCACACCCTGATTCCATTCACACCTTGATCCTTTTCACTCATAGGGCTCCTCTCTTCTTCTTTGGCCAAATTCTCTCCTCCTTCCAAGCCCATTCTTCCTTCATTCTGGTCCATGAGTTGTAGCAATGTAATGGGTTTCCCACGATGTTGATCCACATCCATTTGAGCAAAGTGATGGTCCAAATAAGCAGCAAACTTCTCGCTTAACCTCTTTGCTTGTAATCGTGTAATTAGACCTTCTTGTAACGAAATGGACTTAGTTTTTATGACCTCATCAAAGTGTTTATATGTCTGTTGGATAGAGAAGCAGATAAAGGTAATTTCCCTTATCATCCTATGAGTAAAAGGATTGGGTTAACTCATTTATGTATTGCGGATGATCTTCTAGTGTTCTCGGACGGCTCCAATCATGGATTGTAGAGTGTGCAAAGGGTGCTTGATGAGTTTTACTGTTTATCTGGACTGAAATCAAATCCAAGTAAATGTGAGGTTTACTTTGTAGGCATGGAGAAGAATGAAATGGTTGTAAGGGCTGCTATGTTCGGCTATCAATTGGGGGATTTCCCTGTTCGGTATCTTGTTGTGCGTTGATTGCTGGTAAGCTGACTGTGACTGCGTGTAAGCCATTAATTGATAGTCTCACTCCTCAGATACAAGGATGAAAGGCAAAATCTCTTACGTATGCAGGGAAGGTAGAGTTGGTGAGTTGTGTGATTTACAATATTACTCAATACTGGATGAGTGTCTTTGCACTTCCAAACCAGGTCATAAGGGAGGTTGAGAAGACCTGTAGCAAGTTTCTATGGGCTGTGGGGGTTGGACCAAGACTAAAAGAAAAAATAGCTTGGGAATACTCACTTATCCTAAGAAGTAAGGTGGCCTGGGGTTACGAGACATGGTTGCCAAGAATAATGCTTGCATTTGTCGTCAAATCTAGGTAGGAGTAACAATCGGTAGGTAACCGGTAAACGGTATGCCGAACATGGGAGGGGGGAAATCGATTACCGTTACTGGTTACCGAATTACCGATAAACGGTTACACACCGGTTTTACCGATCTACCGTAAGGAGTTGCTGCAAAAGGTTTTCGATTCGGTTTACCGGAAAATTACCGAACCGAAATTTTGGGCAGTGGGGGCAGGTTGTAAAATTTTGATTTTTCTGAGTGTTTTCCTTCATTTTTGTAATTAATAATTTGTTATTAACTCTTATTTATAATATTTTTGATGCCTATACTTACCTACTTCCATTAATGTATGCAATATTTGTGAGTAATGAAATATATGTTATATGTTAATGCCTTAATATTTGTCAAACTCGAAGTTTCTATCTATTAATCTATTAAATTTAACATAAGTTCAAAGGGTCAACATTCATGATTCATGAATCAACATCAACTCATCAAGCATCATCATTCATCAAATATTCAAATTCATCAAACGACAATTCGACAAACATCATCAAATTCAAAGGGACAACAAGTCAACAATCAACATAAATACATAATCGTCATTCGTCAATTGACTAAAGTGCCCAATGATAATATCTAAATTCAACACAAGTTCAAAGTCCAAACTTAAAAATTAAAATAGACAACCAAATAACCAATAGCTCATGTTCCTCCTTCTCCGGTAGTTTTGTACCACCACCAACATTTGCACAACCTTGCTGCTTCAAAGTACTGAGAAGAGTATCATCGGGATCATCATCATCATCATCATCTTGGTTCATGTCTTCGTCGGTGGATTCTTCATCATCACCATCCTTCTCCTCCTCCTCCTCATCTACCCTAACAAGTAAACTATGTGCTCCACTTGGGATGTCACTTGCAGTTTCTCCTCGAGATTGGAAAGTATTAGTAACTAGTGCTAATAAAATACACAAATTTTAGTATGTTACTAATGGAATGGTTTAAATTTTAGATAGTAAAGAGTATAGACAAATTAGAATAATAAATTGAATTCTTACCACTTTCATAATCGATTGTCTCTTGATCTTCTTCCTTATCATTCAGTTCATCTGCAGTCTTTCCACTTTCATATCTTATCCAATCTTCAACACAAATCAAGGCCTCTACAATGTTTGGGCTCAAAGAAGACCTGAAAGGACTAAGAACTCGACCTCCACAACTGAAAGCGGACTCCTAGGCAAGAGAGGAGACTGGAACTGCTAATATATCCCTTAGCCTGTCCACAGCAAATCCAACCTCTTTAAATCCACCAGAAACAACCAGATTGATTATATGTGCCACACATCTATACTGCAAATACTTCCCATGAATACGTAGAATGCAAAAGTTATCATATGAACTTGGAATGTCTGGAAGATACGATAAACGTACATCATAAGAAAAATCTCTTTAAATTAATAATTAATAATTTATTGATAAATTAATAAATACTAGAAATTAATAATTTTCACGATCCTGGACTATATTAATTTATCGAGGTTATACTTTATAAGGACTTACTTTCCGTCCCCTCTCCTTTCCCCTCTTCCTTAACAGAGCGCTAATGTCACTAGCTATTAGAGGTGGCAATTTTAGTACCTAAACTTTTCACATTTTACATATTGGTTTAAGTTGAGAATGTCATTTGGATTCATAGATAATCTCCCAATCCACTTGATCAAATCCATGAATTCATCAATCCATTTGGTCAAATCCATTTAATCCATGGATCCACAAATCCAATCCACAAATTCATAAATCCAATCCATGTGCCACCTCCACTAGCTATTGTCATCATCTTATGATATCATCATATAAACCTGGACCTCCCTTTTTTGGGTTTTGAACCTCTCTAGGCTATTAAATAAAAAAATAACCTCTCTCTTTGCTTAGGTGAAGAGCTCACCCTCCTCCTCTATATAACACACACCTTCCTCCATTATCTGTTCAGAAGTAGTAGTGGCGCCACAGATGATGATGAAGGACCACAACATCACCGCCGGTGGAGGAACCAACACGACGACACCTAGATCCTCCTCCTCCTCTCCTCTCTACAAGGCCAAGTACACTCCATCCCCATGGATCTACAACAGCACCGTCACCTATAGCGGCGGTGCCGGAGATCACCCCCACCCCCACCACCACCACCAGCAAGATCACTACCTCATCGGTAACGGCCGCGGCGGCTTCTCGTGGCCGACCAGATCCTACACGTGCAGCTTCTGCAGGAGGGAGTTTCATTCCCCTCAGGCTCGCGACGTCCACATGGCGTCCACAGGCGGGAACGAGCCCGCCTATTCTGTAAACAAAATGGGGTCCAAATATTTTTTTAAAAAAATTTAATAAAATATAAACAAAGCATCAATCAATAAATAAAAATCATACATTATTTAAAAATAATATCTATCTAATATGATTTGAAATAAAGAAATAAAATGATTGAATAGTAAGATGTAATTAAACAAATTAATTATTTAAGACATTGAATAAAAAATTCAAATAAAAGACTCCAAATAGGAACTAAATTTTCAATAAATCGATTAACTAGACTCACCTTAATAGGTAATGAGAATTTAATTGAATAAAAAATGAAGATAAGTTTTGAGAATCAAATAGTATAAACAAACAATATACTAAACTAAATTAGATAGAAAAAACTTATATATTAGTATGATACAAACCGTATATAATTGATTTAGTTATTTTGTCCTTCTCTACTATTAGTGGCTTGTACCTAATTATTCTTGTTAATTTTTAATAAATCAATGCGAATTATTTAATTAATTTAGCATGCTAATATAATCGATTAATTGACAAAATTGAATATTTTCCTCTAGAAAAAGCAAAAAATGATAAAAGTTAAAGCAACAAATTTAATAATGCTAATAATGAGGCATCGACAATCTTACCTCCTTATTCTATTTAGGAAACACACGACAAAGAATGAGTTATGTTATTAGGCTTAAAAAAAGTCCAATAAGAAAACAAGTATACCGCTCATGTGATCCGTTCGTTCCTTTAGCGTTGAGACATAGGGTATGCCTATGGTGACTTGCAAGTCACCGTAACTTGGAGAAAATGGTCAACCTCTTCCATCAAGTGGTCAACCACTTTCCAAGAAAACGGTCGACCTCTTCCACCAAGTGGTCTACCACTTGAGTCATCTGGTCTACCACTTCCGGAAATGGGTCGACCTGATGACACGGTTACCTTCAAGCGGTCGACCTCTTCCACCAAGTGGTCGACCACTTTCCAAGAAAATGCGCGATCTCTTCTACCAAGTGGTCTACCACTTGAGTCATTCGGTCTACCACTTCTGAAAATGGGTCGACCTGATGACACACTTACCTTCAAGTGGTCAACCTCTTCCACCAAGTGGTCTACCATTTGAGTCAACTAGTCTAACGCTTCGGAAATGGGTTCTACCTTAATTGGTCGACCATATCAATGAGGAGGTCAACCTTTTCTCCAAATAGGTGGACCTCATCAGTGAACAGGTCGACCATTTTGTCCGAGTCACGGTGACTTGCAAGTCACAATAGCAAAGTGCTCAGACTTAACTTTTTCAATATTATTGTTTTAGATTCATAATCAAAACTCAAATCATAAATTTCTAGCATTTTAAATTCATAATAGAAATTCAATAATTCATAATAATAATTGGTTATATACATGATGGAGGTCAGAAGGCCCCTAAAATTTGGAGGCCTTGTGCCAACATGCTCACGGGCGTGCCAGTACACCCTCAGGGCCGACCCTGATTCAGCACCATAGCTACCCTACTGTACTTAACCTTAACAACAACCCTAACTTTAACCCCAACCCCATCATCATCAACAACAACAAGTACGTGTCTCCTCTCTCTCCGCCAACTACCGTGGAGAGAGCTGAGGATCGGGTTCATTGTATGTTAACAAATCGAGCTTGATCAAACGGAAAACAATAACTTCACACACACAATATACGTGGTATCCCTGAGATTCGGGACTAGTCCACGGGAGAGATGGCCTCTCCGAGCTGAGATCTTATTATCACCAATTCAAGTTGTGTTGGCTACAACACTCAACATGCCTATATATACCCATGCAACCCTAATTCACGTCCCAAAACACCCCAAAGTCTCCACGTCCAAATATAAAAGGTCAAGAACAAACATATGTACATAAATGGGCCAAAACCTCACACAGATCCGCTAACACCCTCCCCCAAATTGATGCCGGTCACGAAGCATCAATTTGCTAGACAGGTACCAATGGCGACTGGACGTGAAAGCCTTCGTGAACAGATCCGCAACTGATCCTCCGTCGGTAAGAAGTGAAGAACTATAACCTCATCACGAACCAAATCAAGAATGTAATAGATGTGGATTTCAATGTGTTTCGTGCGATCGTGAAGGATAGGGTTGACAGCGATCTGGATTGCACTCGTGTTGTCGACATAAGGGGGCATGAGGGTCGGACAGGAGACACCAAAATCACCAAGTAATCGCCGAAGCCACACAAGTTTGGAGCCAACTTCTGACATAGAGCAATACTCGGCCTCTGTCGACGACTTGGATACCTTGTCCTGCTTCTTACACCGCCAAGAAATGAAAGCCTCCCCGAAACGGACACACCACCCACTAGTAGAGCGTCTAGTATCAATGCAACCTGCGAAATCGGAGTCAAAAAAGGCCTGCAATTCCAGAGAGCCCGTGGACGGAAAGAACAAACCAACATCTGCTATCTGCTTAAGATATCGAAGGATCCGATGAACGGCGACAAGATGGGCATCACGAGGATGAGCCATAAACTGACTCACCACCTGGACAACATATGAAATGTCAGGTCGGGTATGGGTTAAGTAAATCAGACTGCCAACAATAGACCGATATTGAGAACTATCGGGAAGAAGAGTGTATGTGTCACGACTGAGCTTAACATTAGGTTCCATCGGGGTAGAAATCGGTCTATTGTGATCAAAGTACGTGTGATAGACCATTAATTACACATGATTTTACCCCTATTCTTGAGCCGTTTGAGATGTTGATTCTCGTGTTTTAAGCCGATTTCACGCTAGGTTGTGCGTTTATGTCATATTTCAGGGCTTAGCGTTGGCATCGAGGCGAAGAAACAAGTTTCGGGTCGAAAGGAGCACGTTTGGGGTGAAGTGTGCTGGAGGAGCAAAATACCCGGCCATGAGCAGAAATACCCGGCAGGGTATTATTTGGAGCAGACCGGGAATTTGTTGCTTCGAGCATCTCTGAGAAGCAGAAGGGGGCCCGGGCAGAGAGCAGAAATCCCTGGTCGGGGATTCTTGGCATTGACCGGGGATCTTCCCCTGTCTTCAGACGCGGCGTTTTGAATATACCCGGTCGCCACCCAAAATACCCGACCGTGTATTCAGGTGGGGGATCGCGACCGACAGCTTCTTAAGGGAAAATAAGGCCAAAAGTGAAGGGTTCCGAGTTTTAGAGAGACAAAGCGATACCCTAGAGAGAGAAAGTGACGAACCTGACTCTGCAAGTGTCATAGATCGATCTCCATCATCATTGAAGCCCAGCTTGAGCTTGGAGAAGACCCAATTGAGTGCCAGAAGCAGATTATCATCCTTCATAGTATGGTTTCCGCATCTGAGCTAGATTTCCCATCTCTCTCTATGGAGTAGTTTTCTTATTCACCTGGGTATGAAGAACCCTAGATTTGTATGTTAGGTGTGATTGTATGAACCCAAGTACAGATTCATTGGTATGATTATGTTCAATTGAGGTTTGATTTGTTGAATGGCATGAATCTTGATCAAATTCCTATTGTTTCTGCTTTAACCTAGAAAGAGAATATCTGCCTAGGTTGATAGAGCACCCTTGATTGAAGGTAGTGAATTGGAGACTTTAGTCGAGGAGTCAATTCACTATTTTGTACCGAATTTACTTCGGTAGTGGAGGTTTGGTTCGTTAGGGCCTCAATCTATTTACTCCGGTGGAGGTTAGTCGCCCGCTGGAGACTCAAATTGAGAGGGCTGGAGACCTTTAGTCGAGACTTCAGACTGTTAAAGAATCTCCCGCAGCATAACTATCATTGAAACTTGGCCATTTTTCTAGAGTGACGGTAAGAGCGAGGCAGAGTGCCATGGAGCAAATCATCAATATACTTATGCTGACTCAAGAGAATACCACCTGTTGTTCGAGTAACCTCAAGCCCCAAAAAATATGATAACGCACCGAGTTCCTTGAGATTAAATGCAGCATGTAAACCATCAGTAAGAGCAGGAATACCCGCTGGGGATCACCGTTACCACCATATCATCAACATATAGTAACAAGATGACCATTCCAGCGTCAGTAGAACGAGTGAACAAAGAGGGATCATTCAGACTCTGGTAAAAACCTAACCCCAATATCGTGTGCTGGAATTTCTCAAACCAGGCCCGCGGGGCCTGTTTAAGACCATATAAAGAGCGGTTTAGGCGACAAACCTTACCCGGCTTAGCATGCGTGTAACCCGAGGGACACTCAATGTAGACCACTTCCTGTAGATCGCCATGGAGGAACGCGTTCTTGACATCCAACTGCAGTAACGACCACTGCTTAATCGAGGCAACCGCAATCAGTGTCCGCACGGTTTGCATCTTGGCCACCGGGGCAAAAGTCTCTGTATAGTCAATGCCAAACTCTTGACTGAAGCCCTGAGCAACAACTCGAGCCTTAGGCTGCTCCAAGCTCCCATCAGGATGAAGTTTCAACGTGTACACCCATTTACTGCCTATCACCAGAGTAGGAGGAGGTGGACGATCAACGATGGTCCATGTATCATTGGCGTGGAGCGCATCGATCTCCGTGTCCATGGCTCCATCCACAAGAGGATCACCTTTGGCCTGTCTGTACCTAGTAGGAACCACAATGGACGCAACATTAAAAGTAACATAGTCTCTCATATAGGAAGGCGGCTGACCGAGAGTGGAACGATTGGAACGGCGAAGGGGAGCTGGCGGAGGATCCGACGTAGGTGATGACTATGGCGATGGAGAGACAGATGATGATGGTGACGAGTCAGTCGAAGAGCAGGGCGACGAGTCCGTCGAGGAAGATGCAGTGGTGGAAGCTTGCGGAGATGGCGGTGGGGATAGGTCGGGCGCATGGTCATCTTCGGTCTCAATAAATTCACCCGGATCAATACTATCAAACGACAAGGGACAAAGTGACGAAGCAACAGATTTGGACTCTGATGATGACGCAAAGAATAGAAGGTGCTCAAGAAACACAA